TACTCTGTGTATTGAGAGAGTAGGAATGATCCTTGCTGTAAAGATTTGTTCCTTCTTTTGAGCTACTGCATCCATAGGTGTAGGTGAAGTTCATCAAATTGTATGAGATTACTCTTTTTTCCTCTTGACCTTCTTAAAATATGTGCATAAGTTCACATGTATTTCTGGAAACGGGGCTTCATTGCTTTCATTGATCTCAAAAGTACCCGTTTACCAAGAAAATCATGAAATTGTAAAATCAAGCTCATTGCCTCCTAGTCAGTTCAGACTCTCAGTGACCTGACAGGACAGAGTAGGACTGCTCCCAGGGGTTCCAGGGCTCTCCGCTCTTACAGAAGCAGGCTGCCACATGTTTTCTCCTGCTGAGAGCCTGATGGTTTGAAGCACCGATATTTTAGTTAGCAGTCCAGCATTTACCCCACTGAGCCACTGGGATTCCGTTAAAAAAAAAAACAAACAGCAGCAACAAAAATATAAGAACCTCCTTAGTGGGCCAAAAACAAATCCTCATAAGAGTCACTTTTTTCAAGGACATAGGTTTTGCCACTTCAGTCTGTCTTCCCAGTTCACCTGTTTATTTCATTGCTTAATTTGTTGTTGTTATCTTGATTGTCTAAAGGCAATAATTAATAGCTTGTTCAAAATAAAGTACATTCGATACATGTTTCCTTCACAGACATAGCTAATCCAAATAAGTTAAGGAGACAAATGGGAGGGATTTTTGTTTCCTCAATGGTCTAAAAGACACATGGCTAAAAACCAAGCCAACTGCACTGCCATCGAGTCAGTTCTGACTCCTAGCGACCCTGTGTAGGGTTTCCAAAGCTGCATGGAGTGTTTGAACAGAAACAGGCAGCTTCGTCTTTCTCAGGGTTGGTGGGTTTAAACCACAGTGCCACCAGGGCACCTTAGCACAGGCCGAATCTGCAGAATCTTTTCATTAGCAATGCTGGTTTGTGTAAGATGTGTTTTATTATATTTTTTAAACCAAGATTTCCATCTTTCAAAGTCATAAAGAGTATATGTAGGCTTGTTAAAGAGTTTTAAACTCTGGCTGTACATTGCTGCTTCACAGAAATATAAGTTAAACTGGGATATCCACTTAAAACCTCTTTGTTTAAAAAAAAAAAAAAGTTAATTGAAGTTTATTGCCCTATGTTAATTTTGTTGCATTTTGTAGTTACATGAGCTCCCAGTGTCATGCCTGACTTTCCTAAGATGTACACCTTTCCTTTGTGCAAGTTCTTAAACTGGATCCGAATTCCGTCCTGACTCCACCTGGCCTGTTGATGCGTGTTCTCTGCCTGTCCTGGGCTAAGGCGGTGTGCAGCCAGCCTGTGGCCTCACTTCCCGCCCCTCCCACAGGCCACGTTTATACCAGCCCCTTTTTATTTTGAAAAATTGTAAATCGGCACAGAAAAGTTTCAAAAAAAAAAGAACATTGAATAAGCACATGTCTTCCACTAAGAGTCACCAGATATTATTTTACCACATGTATGATTTCGTTGTCTGTAAATGTGCATTATGACTTTATTTTGTGTTTTTCACTTTGCTGACTCGTTGGAGAGTAAGTGACAGGTAGCATGCCCTTTACTTCTGATACTTCAGCACGAGAAATGAGGACATTCTCTTATGTAGCCACAATTTGGTTATTAGGTAAGGGAGGGGGAGTTAGCAACACGGCCATTCTCTTCTAACATACAATCTAGAGTCACATTTTGCCAACTGCCCCAGTGCTGTTCCTCATAGAAATGCTTTCTTTGTCTTAGTGTTTGTGCCAGATGTCACGATGCAGGCAGTTGACACCAAGTCTTTTTAGTTTCCTGTAACTGATAGCAATACCTCAACCTCTGTCTATCAGTGACCTTTTCAAAGGTCAGCCCTCAGTTTGGGTTTGTCTGATCATTTCCTCCTGATTAGACTCAGTGGGGTAAGTTTTTTTTGGCAGGAGCATCACTAAAGTGATGTCAGCTCTTCTCAGAACATCGTGTCGTGTTACTTTCCTTGGGGATGATGCTTCTCCACGGCGTTCAGTGGTTCTACGTTCGAGAATACTTGCTTTCCCTTTGTAAAGAGCCCTTAATCTGGGGGAACGCTGGAAGTCTGAGCAGGTATGCCAACCTGTCTCCCAGTGGGTCTGGCTGTCACTGGTGACTCTTGGCACCCTTGGTTAGTTACTCTGATGTCTGCATTGCCCAGTTGATCTTTACTTGCGTTTCTCCCCCTGTACATGACTGATTTCTTGTCAATATAGATGCATTGCTTTTCTTCATTTAGCTACATTATTACCATCATTCATTTTGATAATGTATTCACATTGGCTTCTGTGTTCTTTGACATGTCCTCATCATTTCTCTTTTACCCAGGGCTAGTCGGGTTTCTTGGAGTCCTGGTGGGGTGCTGTAGGATAAACATTGGACTGCTAACCACAAGGTTGGCAGTTCAAACCCACCAAGCCACTCCTTGGAAACGCTGTACCGGGTCACTGTAAGTCAGGACTTACTCAATGACACACAACAACCCATGTGCAGTTGATGTTTTGATCCAGTCCTGTAACCACTAGGACTTTCACTACAGACTGCACTGCACTTTCTCATACACTTTGTTGCTCATTTGAAGAAGATTTTACTTTGTAAAGTCTCTGTTCAGCTATTGAGCCCACATTTTAAATTGAGTCATACATCATTTATTGATTTACAGGAACTATTGAAATATTCTGGACATAAGTAATTTGTCACATCCATGTATTACAAATACTTTTTCCCGTCCCCTGGCTTGTCTTTTTATTTTTTAAGTGATGTCTTTGGCTGAGCAATTTTTAATTTTGAGGACTTCCCTGACTTCTCTACAGCTGTCCCACCTGTAGGGTGCTCATTTCAGTGGTGGGTGCTTCACACATAAACACACAGGCAGCATACAGTGTATATTCTTTTATGTTTGCTTATTTCACTTAACTGTATATGGTAGAAATTACTTACCAATACTTGGTAGTATCGTGGGTTACAAATCAGGCTCTTAACCACACGGTTAGTAGTTCAAAACTACCAGCAGTTCTGCTGAAGAAAGATGAGGCTTTCTGCTCCTGTAAAGATTTACAGCCTCGGAAACCCTGTACAGGGTCTCCAGGAGTTGGAACCAAGTCCACGGCACACTACCACCAATGATCAGTGCTTAGGGATTTCCTTTGGTACCACTTCACAGCAGCCAGTATTAAACTCTTTGTACTGCAATTATTTCTAGGCTTAGCTGGGCTAGCTTCAAAGGACTGTAGTAAACATGGAATGAGCTATAACCCCGTGGGGAGGTGAGCCATTCTGCTGGCTCGAGCAGCGCTAGAAAATGTTAGTTGAAATATAAGAAGAACTGGGGCAAAGCATTCAAAACGTTCACTGTTTGTGCATCTTCTCCTTTCTACTCTGCCCCTGGGTCATGTGACGTGAAGACCCTAACCAGTGAGCCGCATAGCTCTGTGTCTATCACGCTTTCACTCAGTCTTTCCCTCTGAAACAGGTTGCCCGGGAGAGTGGGCCACCACACATGAAGAGTTTTGTGACCAAGGTCTCAGTTGGAGAGTTCATAGGGGAAGGGGAAGGCAAGAGCAAGAAGATTTCAAAGAAAAATGCTGCCATAGCTGTTCTTGAGGAGCTGAAGAAGTTACCTCCCCTCCCTACAGTTGAACGAGTGAAGCCCAGAATCAAAAAGAAAACAAAGTCCATAGTCAAAGTAAGAACCGCCTTGAACACAGAGCCTTCCCATGGCCCATGGGTAGAAAGGGGTGAGGAAGAAGGCTCTTGCTGACTCTAGGGTAAAAGGGGACACACCAGGCTTAGCAGACACTTGTCACTCACCACCTTCTTGGAGTCTCGTAGGAGCCATAGGTGATGCCAGGTGCTGCAAATGGACTGCAGACCTACAGACACTCCCTACAGAAGGGTGGGCATAAGCAACCTGCAGCAGGGGCCCTGGTGGCACCGCAGTAGCATTGTCTCGTTGGCCACCAGCTGTGTTGTAAGTGAGGAACACTGTCCACAGGGGAGTGACAGACTGAGACCTCTTACAGACTGACTGTCTTGGGTTTTTGAAAGTACATTAGTGGGTCCTATAGAAAATTAAATTGACCCTCTCCTACCTCTCAAAAAGGAGCAGGATTCCATTTAGAACTGTTGACTCCTTATTTCATTGTAGTTTTATATGTTTTCATGCTGTATCAAGACCCATATTATCTTACAGGAAGATAAGCACGTTCCCGGTTCCCTGTCTCACTTGAGGGTCTAACCTAAAGGCACTGCTTGTCAGTGGACTGTGCTTCATGCTGAGGTGGCTGCTAGGAAGTATGAGGGCCTTTAACACCCATAGAAAAATCCCATTTCATTTCATTAGCCCATGAACTTTTGGAGGCCACTTTATAACTGGGTTTCACAAGTTCAGTAGCAGCTTGAACCCGGTTTTTTTTTGTTGTTATTGTTTTTTTAACTTCTGGATATTGAGTCATTATTAAAAGCTGAAAACCCATTTTATAATCCAGACTTTTGAGAAGTTTCAGCATAGTGTTTGTTTTTTCTACTCTGTTCATAGTCACAAGTTCGAATTTATTGTTATGTTTGTTGTAAAGATGACATCATTATAATGATCCTTATTGTGAAATGGTGGTGTTGAGTTGCTAAGAAAACCATAAAATCTTCCCAGAGCAATCCTAGAAACTCAGAGCCACTTTCAATTATAAAAATGAGATAGTGAAATACAGACTCATTCTAAGCCATTATTAGATCCTCACAAAAGCAATCTATTATGCTCCTTATCCATTCCGTGATTGACACCACTGCCCTATCTCCGTGTTGTTTGTTCCTCAGCTCCATGCAGGCCCGGAATACGGGCAAGGGATGAATCCCATTAGCAGACTGGCCCAGATCCAGCAAGCAAAGAAGGAGAAAGAGCCGGAATACCTGCTCCTGACTGAGAGAGCCCTGCCGCGCCGCAGGGAGTTTGTGATGCAGGTGAGTTCGCTTGGCTTGTGGGGTCCCTTCCTCTGGCCACATCCGGTACCCGAACGCCATCAATCATTATCATTGTGAGGACTACGTTCCTGGTGATGTGCTGACAACTTTATAGAGACAGACACTTGCCTGCACCCCATGGGCACCATGGTGTGGAGACAAGGGACCATAGTTCTGAAGAGTTATGGCATGGTGGTTGCAAGGGAGAGTTCATTCTTCATCTCAAACATCTGTGAACCTGTTTTTTCCAAAAGTTACATTTCACAAGTGATATAAAAAGATCTATTTGCTGCTCTAACCCTTCTGTGGAATTCGGGATCCAGGGTTGTCTCATTCTTGGACTGAAGTGACACTTCAGATAGTTTCTGAGTGTTTCTTTCTGTACTTTGCTTTTATGAAGTTGCTTCACATAGGCAGCATAATTGAAGTGTAATTTTAATTTGATAGTGTGTTCTGGTGAAAAGCAGAGTGCTTACCTCGTGTAGCATGTTGCATTTTTTAAAGCAGCACTGTTACTTCCTTTGTGTTACTTCCTTTCACCAGTCAGGAAAAGGGAGATCCTTCCGTTCTGCACATGAGGAAATTGCAGCTTGGTGAGAGATCAGTCATTTGCCTAGGAGATGGCCAGGCTAGAACTTGACCTCTGGCCACTTTTTACAGGCCAGGGAGGGGTTTCCTTGACTTTGGTTTATGATATAGAGCTTTTGTTTTCAGTAGCCAAATGCTTGTGATCATGGACAGCTGGAGGGACTGTGTGCTGTTGAATTGAGGGGATATGTTTAACAGTGAACTCTTGGGAGGCTAGGGTAGTGTTTAGCAAGCTGGGAAGTATGTATGTATGTTTGTATATGTATTCACACACATATATATTATATATATTACTAATAAAAGGATGCATTGTACCCAGTTTGCAAGTAATAATATGATACTCTTTATTGTAAATTCCATACACCTGTAACTCTAGTGCAGCCAACAATAGTGTTATAAAAATCCGACTGCAGAGACATGCTTCATTACTACCTAGTTCAACAGTTCAACATGAGTGTAGTTCCAGTATGAACATCAGTTGATACTGTTCTTGATGAGAGTGACAAAGACATGTCAGAACTTCACTGAATTTAAATCATTAGTGATATGAACAACTCTGCTGAGTTCGATGATAATTTTTGAATGCTGGAAGAATATTTTGACGTCATGGCTACAGACTTACTGCACTTTTAAATTTAATCTGTATTAGTAACTTTATCACTTTCTTAAAATCAACAGACCGACTCACCCTTATATAGGTACCATTTGCCAGTTTCTGTGGCATAAACACTTCTAGCCAGTATTCACTTGTATAAGCAAGTGATGCCCCAGACCATAAGCTGGCAAGAGATGTGCAGTCACGTGCCTATATGTAGTATTTTCACCGTGCAGACTATAGTTGGGAAGCACTTTAAGAACCTAGAGCAGGAATGTGGAATGTCCAGCCCTCGTGCCGTATAAGCCCATGAAGTCAAGGCAACTGCAGTTCCAGCCGTCACATTAGGGGTGAGTTCATTAAATGTTTGACCAAATAACCGCAAGCTAATTTTTATGTTGATCATTTTGTATGGCCCGCGAATGATGGTACAATTTTTGGCAGAAAGACAGGTTCCCCAGCCCTAGCCTAGATGATAATAACATGTAGTCAAATTAGGAAGTGATGAGGCTTTGGAGTATTCATTACCTTTGATTGATGAAAAAATGATATAACAGTACAAAACTCAAAGAACTGAATTTGCTGTAGAGTGTATTTTGACCATCTCACTGAGTTCTGGGACTTAATAATGGACTCTTGCATCTTGGGACAAACCACCTCTAGTGCACCACTCTTCACCATTTCACTTCTGACCTCCTGCTTTTTTATCTCAATAAACTGATGACCTTTACTCTGAATGGCTAAGTACTATACTGACTTATTTATTCAGGTGAAGGTGGGAAACCACACTGCCGAAGGAGCCGGCACCAATAAGAAGGTGGCCAAACGCAACGCAGCTGAGAACATGCTGGAGATCCTTGGTTTCAAAGTTCCGCAGACTCAGCCCGCCAAGCCAGCACTCAAGTCAGAGGAGAAGGTGAGTACTGGGGCTCTCTGTCCTGTGTAGCTGCACAGGGACCATCTCCCTTCGTCCTTGGGCATTGGCAGTTGTAGGGGCACCTGCTAGGGACACAAGGGGAAATGTGTGTCACGTGGTTCCCCGCCACTCCCTGGGCTCAGTCCTTGCTGGTCTGGGATGCTCTTTCTCCATTGGTAGGATGGTAATTGAGATAAATGGGTGGTGGTTGTGCCATTTGCTTTTAAAATGAAAACCTGCAGAAAAGGTTCTGAAACCTTCGGTGTTCACTCTTGTGCAACAGGCATTGATTCTCAAGAACACTGAGACGGTGTGACATTAGAGTCATCTCCAGCCCCTACCTTTAGGTTTGAGAATGCTCTTTTCTTATGTAACTGAAGGACAGATGAAAAAGAATCTCATAGTAGCAATTTTGAGTCCACTGCAGTTGGCAAGCTGTACCTTCTGTGAAAGCCTTAACTGACCCCTGGCTCCCATCTGAATGGTCCTGTAAGAATAAACCTGACTCTTCCGTGTCTGCTGGCTATATCAGTGATGAGAAGTAGTGTCCACAGTGGCCAGCCCGTGAACATCCATCCAAGCACCTAAACTGATCTGGGTTTGCCTTTTGTGTTTTTTCCCCCAAAATCCTGTCAAGCATCCATAGCTCCCGCAACTTGCTACTTCCCAGGATGGAGACCTTGAATTTATAAAATTTTTATCTAGTAACAAGTGTGTTATCTTTAAATTTTTTTTTAATGCTTTATTGTGAATTATGTGATCGTTTACATGGAAGGACATTAGCTTAGCTTCATATTGATCCTGTCGTATATTATTTCCTTACCATGGTAACAATCCCCTCCACGCATCATCCATCAACCAAAGGGTATACCCCACAAGCCTGCCCCCTGTCATCAGCACACAGCCCCTCTCCCTCTCTGGATCTAAAGTCTCCAGCTGCTTCATGTCTCCATGTCATCGTCTCTACCTCCATCTCAGGCATCACTGCTTCTCTGGGTAGGGTCCCGCTCTCTGCTCTTCTCCCTTGATGATCCCAGGGACCTCTGCTCCTAGACTGCAAAGTTAATCACTCCTTTCCCTTTGCCACAAAACGTCCACCTTTACATTTCCAACCCTCACAATCAGTCCTGATAACAGTTATTTACTGTTGTATCATAAGAGACCTCTCCGCATCTCCTTTCATCAGCCCCGACTAGACAGATTGGATACTACTCAGTGGAGATTCCACCTTCCTCCACACCCTTGGATCTAGGTTCCCTCTTGAAAGCTTGTAAGCCAGTCACTTCTTGCCTTTGTAGCCCCCCTGTTCTGGGTAGCTAATGTCCAATTTGCCCATCCTTGTCCTCTCTGTGTGTAGAAGGGGTGGAAATGATCCTTGCTGAAAAGATTTGTTCCCTCTCTTGAGCTACTGCTTCCATAGATGTAGATTAAATTAATCAAATTGTATCAGATTACTCTTTGTTTCCTCTTCTTCTAGTTGAGCTCTGATCATCCAGTCATTGAAGCCAGGTCAAGTGTGAGTGTACTTATGTATATGCCCTCTCTTCTTATCAGCTGAGTGCTTCACTCGCCACTCTAGTCCTTTGTGGCTATGTCTCTGACTCTAGGTCCAAGAGTCCCCTGGACTTGCCACACTGCTGGCCAACCAGTATCTTTGAATTTTTAATTGCACGTAATTCTAGGATCTAGTGTTGATGGGTGTGTTTCAGTTCAGTCTGAAAGCTGCTTCCTCTGTCTGGGTGGGCTTCTACCAGTTTTGTGGGGGTTTTAGCCCCTTCTGGTTAAACATTTCCTAACTTGCTGTGAAGGCAGAAGTAGAGGCTCTGCAGTCTCAGTTTAATGCCCTTGGTGGACGGGGCCACGTGGCCGGAGTCCACTGGTGGGCACGTGCAGGCTGCCCCGTGTGGCTCAGCCATGAAGTCAGCAGTCACTTTTGGGAGGAGGCTTTTCTGGTGGGTGTCTCTTCAGTTTTATAAGTTTAGAAACTAAAGATTGATGCTAACTGAAGTTACTATATTTTAGACAACAGAAGCAGAGTTTTCAGGTGTCTAGTTTATGACTTAAAAAAAAATTTTTTTTTTTAAAGACACCAATAAAGAAACCAGGGGATGGAAGAAAAGTGACCTTTTTTGAACCTGGCTCTGCAGATGACAATGGAACTAGTAAGTGATTTTGATCTGGATGTGATGCTGGGCGGCCTTGAGCACCCAGGAACATGTGGTCACCCTGTGTGTGTGCGCTGTGCCTGTAATGGGACAGACGTCTTCTGGACGTGATAGGGAATCGTCTTTGTGTGTGTGTCCCTCCTTAGGTAATAAGGAAGATGAGTTTAGGATGCCTTATCTTAGTCATCAGCAGCTGCCTGCTGGAATTCTTCCCATGGTGCCCGAGGTTGCCCAGGCTGTGGGTGTCAGTCACGGACATCACACCAAAGATCTCAGCAGGGCAGCTCCAAATCCTGCCAAGGCCACAGTGACTGCCATGATAGCCCGGGAGTTGCTGTATGGCGGCACTTCGCCCACAGCTGAGACCATTGTAAAGAATAACATCTCTTCAGGACACATACACCACGGACCTCTCCTGAGACCCTCGGAGCAATTGCAGTATCTCTCCAGAGTCCAGGGATTCCAGGTAACTGTGGTCCTCCCTCAGGGTGCTCATGTTCTCTGGGTTTCTCTCAAAAAATCAACTTGGCTCTTTGTTGTTTTATTAATTAAGTGCTTTTGTTTGGAAGGGTGAGCTGAGGGAGGGAGGAGTGGAGAGCATCAAGAAGGGAAGCTTGGAAACAATACAGGTACATGTGGTAAGAGAAAGTCCTTATACTTCAGTGATACACTGAAAAGTGTAAAGCAGCCATACCCACAAAGCCTCGGTGTAGTAGTGGTTTTGCCATTTGAACTCCAGAGGGAGCAGCCGCATTGTGCTGCCCCATTCTGCCTGGTGTAGGAGAGAGAGGGCATGGCTTGTCCCTATCAAGGTTCGGGGCAGATACCTAGGTTCCCGGAAAATTGTGTGCATTGGCGTCCTGCTCTTCCGCCTATGGTCCTCAGTCCCTCTGAGATGCTTACAATTTTGTGGGCGTGGCTGGTGCCTCATCATGCTGAGAGTAGGAGCCCCAGCTTTCCTTGTCTGCCCTCAGTTTTCTTTCCTTCTCAGGTTGAATACAAAGATTTCCCAAAAAACAACAAGAATGAGTTTGTATCGCTAATCAATTGCTCCTCGCAGCCGCCTCTGATCAGCCATGGCATCGGAAAGGATGTGGACTCCTGTCACGATATGGTGCGTGCCCCTCCTTGCAGTGGAGGCTGGATAGTTACGTGGTTGTTTGAAGAGTTCCCTTGCTTCAGCTTGTTACTGGCCTCAGGAAGATAAAAAATATTTCTGTAGCCAACCGACTAATGGAGTTGATTGTTTCCACACAGTTTGTGGTTTTGGTAATTTTGGTTCTTGATGGGATGAAATTCTCTTTGTTCATCAGAAGCCATCAGCGTTTAGCCGCCCTTTCTCTCCCTCCCCATGCTGTGTACAAGGCTGGGTGGGGATCCTGAAGCTTTCTAGTCCTGCACACACACATACACACATACCCAAGTCATGTCTCAGACCAGATCGAGGAGTTACAAGTCCCAGTTCTGGCAGCTGTGGAAAGCTCCTTGTTGTGTTAGTGTTTGATGAGGTGATTGTTGTAAAAACTACTGAAAATCGATTACAATAATTAACCTGCATAAACTATGGTAGATTCATCTGGTGGAATACAATGGTACATGACATTAATGTCTGAAGATACCCGATTGGGTCTGAAGCAGGAAATAAAAGTTATAGTATGCTTACCATAATGTTACAAATACTAGAAGGAAATGTAAAATGAATAGAGGTTGTGTGGTTCAGTGAGGTAAACTGGACCATTTATTTTTTTTTAAATTTGTATTTCAAGTGTAAATTCGGACATTAAAGTAAAGCATTATTAGGGTGCCGCGTGTTGGAGAGTTTGGTGGGGAGCAGGAAGTTAGTCACCTGCCTCCCTGCTCCCAGCTGCTGTCACACTGTGGCCCCAGGGGCTTTGGCTGACTCTTCTTTCCATCCCCACTAGGCGGCACTGAACATACTGAAGTTGCTGTCTGAGTTGGACCAACAAAGTGCAGAGATGCCGAGAACAGGAAATGGGCCTTTGTCTGTGTGAGTGTGCCTTTTGGTGGGAAAGACTTAACTTTCTGTGTTTTCCCTTCAATTCAAACTGTCTGCTCAGCTTTCATGCTGAAACACTTGCCAGAGATGCTTTCTGTCCCTTTCTTTTCCCTGAAAGATTTCCAAACTTTGCATAGAAAGCTCTGCATTTTCATTTTAAATTTTGAATGTAACAATCACATGGTGCTACAGTCACAAAGTTTAGAAACCAAAATTATCTTAGGAGGTACACAGTGACACATCTTACCCACACACAGTCCCCACCCACCCCCTCACTTTCCCTGGGTCCCATTTCCTGGGTGTTGCTTTGTGCAAATATACATGTAAGTTTTAAAATTTACTTTATCTTCATTTTCCCCCAGAGGTAGCATCACACAAACATTGTCCTCTTTGCTTTTCTTCATGAGACAATAGACCCTGGGCACTCCGCACATATTGGGCTTATTGGCATTTGCTAGTTTTTCTCTATTATTATTATTATTTTTTTTAACGTGGGCTTAAATACAAAACTGGTATTCCTTTTTTCCCCCTTAAAGGTGTGGGAGGTGCTGAACCTTTGCTGGCCACGAACCATTATCAAATCCCAACATATATACTGAAAATACTGAAACTGCTTTGAAAATTTGGAATTTCTGATACCTCCAGTGGGCTGAGACATGACAGACTGGACCCATCAGCGGCGAGGAAGACGGGGGCTCAGGAGGCAGCTGTGGCTGTGAGGGAGTGGGCTGTGATTTGTTGTATTGGGGCCAGAGGAGAGGAGCAGCCAAACCCAGAACCACCCGCCTCTTGCCTGTCTCCCCTTCTCTGTTGGGGGAGCAACAAAGCCATGCTGAGGCACCTCAGCGCTTGGTTTTGTTTTGTTTTTTGGCAGTGTGAAAGAAGAAAACACAGAAAGCATGATCCCCTCCTCAAACTGGCTAACTCAGACACTTTGGGATAAACACTGGACAGCCACACCAGAGACTGGCCCCAAAGCTGTAAGCACCAGAGAAAATCAAATGCTTCCTACTCAGCATCACCTGAGCTGCCCAGGGTGCTGAGGCCCCACCCCCAGTGCCCACACCATAACCACTGCTTTCTCTTCAACAGCAAAATACAGTCTTAGTTTCATTATTTTCTTTCAATTAAAATGACACTATATACAATTTTTATTGGAAAGTTTCTCAATTGTATCTAGTTATATAGCACAGTTTAGAAACTTGTCTGAAACTGATTTTCTCAGTAATCTAACTGTCAGAGATCATACCCGTGTGTAGGTGACTATCCCTTTTTATCTTACTGGACTCACTGACCCAGGACCACTTCTGTGATGCAAATTGTGTGCCCTCTGGTTTAGCTGAAACAGTCCTTGACTTTTCAGAAACCCCTGATGAAGTCTCCCACCGTTGTATAAATGGGACACTTTTGGCCTTTTGAAAAACTTCAAATGATCATTTGGTACCTTTGCTATTTTATTTTTATTTGGGTTAATGCATCAATGACTTAAATGAACTTTAATCTTTATTTAAAAGATTATAAAAATGATTGTGTGCATTAGGACCCATAGCTTCCACTGCAGCCAGGACATGGTCTCCAGGTAGTATGTAGAAACTGCAGATGGATTTTCCTTGAGTGCTTTATACTGTTAACTGCATCTCCATGTAGGGCTGAAAAGAAAGACCTTTGTTTATATAGAAACTGTTGCTTTTGGTGTTCTGTGATTGTGCGCAGACTGCGCAGTAAGGCTCTGCCTACGGTCCAGATAAGGTCCAGATAAGAAGCACGGTCGCCTTGCGAGTTCAGTACTGCTTTGATTCATTGTTTACGCTGGAAATTTTTTCTCCCCATGGAATGTAAGTAAAACTTAGTGTTTGTCACCAATAAATGGTAAAACTACATTTTTTTGGGTTAATTTATTGTTAACTGCCACTACTGCTAGATTGCCCCCACCCTGCCCCCTTTTTTACTTTAAAGAAAATAAATTTGTAATGCTTGTGATTCCATGTGGGCAAAATTCTGAAGATATGAAAAAACTTTATATCAAACCACTTATCAATAAACAGCTACTAATGAATGATTTGGTCATGTTGAGCGGTGACTGAAGAGGTGGCCTGTAGGTGCGGCCCCTGGGGATGCAAGGCCAGTATGGGAAGGGAGGTGTCCCTCACATGACCCCAACACCAAGGAATGGTAGTACTCCTGACTGGGAGGGAGGGCTAAGGCTTCTTCACTGTCCTGGAGCACCCGAGTGCTGAGTTCTGGAGGAGATAGCCAGGGAGGCACTGGGGTCCAGCCTGGCTCAATGTGAGTTGGTTGGAGGGTTTTTAACTTCTAAAGAAGCAAAAGCTCAGAAAGGGGTTCCCACTGTACAGCTAGCTTATGGGTTGGAGCTGCCTAAATATCCAAATGTAAAATGTCTTCAGGAAGTTAGGGGAAAGCTGAGGTATCGAAACTTAACATGGTGTGTGATAAGAGCATTGAAAGGAAAAAAGAACCATTTTATTAAAAAACGGGGAGAGGGTCTTTGTGGGTTGTGCCTCACCTTTTAAGATCCCACTATTCCACTCACAAGGTCTTCAAGCAACAGACCCTACAGAAGTCTTCTTTCTGGGTCTCTGACCAGCTGTAGAAACTCATTCTCGAGAAGCTGGTGGCCTGGGCTGACTGTTAATTCTTTGAAATGAACTGGCTTTGCGCATTACACTGTAAGGTAAGTGCTATTTGGTTCCGACTCATAGCAACCCTGCATAGGGTTTCCAAGGTGTGGCTGGTGAGCTTGAATCACCAACCTTGTGGGTCAAACTGACCTTTCGGTCCAGTGCTTACTCTACAGCAGGACATCAGGACAGTGTAAATCATTGAAAAGTGGAGTCCACTAACCGGGTTGTCTCAGTTCTGCCCGGGCTGTGGAGAGCTGCAGATATTGTCCACAAAGCAAAAGTACCGAGTTTTGGCTCAAAGGTTTTGCGACTGGGATGGTTATGGAATACACAGTCCTGATTCCCTCCAGATTTTTACAGCCCAGTCTCGACAGTCTGAGACTTGTCTCTGAAAGAGGCCCATGGCCTGCCCAGAAGGAAGGTTGCTTCAACAATTTAAGAGCATTCCTCTGGACAGCTCTTGAAAACAGCCGGGTATGAATCTCCTTAAAAATGTCTCCTGCCAAAGAAACCTATAAATCTGTCTCTAGTACCGTCTCTACTGTCATGGAGAACATTCCCCTTTCCGTATTACTGAGGCCCGGTTCTAATTAGTTAGTTGTAAAGGCGAACTGGAAGTTTGGAGTCATTTCTAATGCCCAGCTACTCTAATCAGCATCCCCTCAAGGTATGCATGGTGTCCTGTGGGCATGCTGTAAGACAGGAAGGAGGGGAGAGCTGGATACCCAAGTCTGGATACCCAGTGTCTGCAGCTGATACCCAAGAATACAGGAGGGGCTGCTGCAGAGAGATTGGCTTCAGTCTGTGGCTGCTACTACTGAAGACCTAGAAAGGGAAGGAGGGAGGTTAGAAGTCCTAGGATCTGGAGGGATCTGTATTACTTGGGGCTTTTTCACATAAGGTGTGTTAAGTGTGCACACACACACACAACGGCAATAAAATGCTGTTATGTGGAGAAGATGGAAGCTTACCAATGAGTGGATAGCTGTGGCTGACACCGATGGAGTTGTCTATGTAGAATGAGACAGCTGGTGGTGGTGTGGAGTAGAATCAGGTCAGCAGTGTCCTCTCAGAATTGTTCAGCGCCATTGAATCAAGTTCTGGCTCGCAGTGACCCTGCACAGGGGTTCCAAGGAGTGGCTGGAGAGTTTAAAGTGCCGGCCTTTCGGTCCAGTGCTTTATCCCACAGCTCCATCAGCAACAAAACAATGCTCATCAGTGACAGAGGGTACAGGGTAATGTGAAGAAATTTGGCAAAACAGAATATGTAAACAGAGATGACAGATGGACAAGATGTTGATAGGTGTACAGAAATGGTGAGACCGTAGCTAGGAATTGTAGAGCAATCTGTCTTTGATGGCATGGTCCGCTAGGCGTGACCATGCACGGGGTCTGGTCAGTGTCAGCAGGGGTGCCAGTGTTCTGACATTACTTCCTCAAGTCCCTCTCATTTCGGAGCTTTCAGTGAGTGGCAATTATTTTCACTTTTTAAAATCAGGGTTTGCTGTTCTTGTTTCATCTTCTGGAGTATTTTAATGTTATCCCTGACATCATGCAATTTCAGAGCAAATACTTCTGCCCACAGCCAGTTTTTTGTATGATGTTATGGGTTAATGTGGGAGTCCTGGTGTGACACTGTGGGTTAATGCGCTGGACTTAAAAGTCTCTTTGAACTGCAAGGTTTGCGGTTCAAGCTCACCAGCTGTTCCTTGGAAACCTTACACTGGGTCGCTATGGGTTGGTACTGACTCAACTGCATAACAAAATGGGTTAATGTGCTGGGCTGCAAAGTCAGTGGTTGGTTCAACCTTTTAGCTGGTCCTCGTTATGGTTCAGAACCGACTCAATGACACTTAACAGTGTGGTGTTGTTATGGGATAAGCACTGTACTGCAAACAGCAAGGTGTCAACAGTTCAAATCTACAAAAACCCTCCTTGGAAATGCAGTACAAGGTCACTGAGTCAGAACTGACTGGAAGGCACTTAATTAATGGCTAAGGGCAAACAGGAATGTCATGTTTGAACCTAGGTTCCCTTCCCTAGAGTTGGTCTACTGGCCAAAAAGGGTAATTAACCCTTGCGAGTAGCCATCTGGGTGCTCTCTGGGTCCTTGTGAGAGGCAACAAGGGCTCCAAGCTTGGTGTGCTCACCAGGAAAAGGAAGTGGTCATTCTAAGAAACAGGCTGTGTGCACAATAGGCTGCTAGGGTGAGTTCAGTAGAGTCTAACCATGAATAACTTAGGGAAGTACCAGGAATTAAATCCAGGGGTGGCGCTAGGTAACTTAGCTTCTTGCATGCCGCATACCTTTAAAGGCTCCCACTGTTGGCATCTTTGGCTTCTATGTCTCTGAGTTCTTGAAAACAGATTTACAAATTTACCAATAATGGATTTGCCAAGCACACAAGCTTATCATTGGATTGGCACAGGGAGTTAACCAATTTTCTTAAACTTTTTAAAGAAATACACGTATGTTCTTTAAAGAGGCAATGGATAAATTAGGCAGGAGAGGATAGGAATTTTGATAACAGCTAGTTTCTTGGAATTTCTTGATTACTCCATGTATTTCTTTTACTGAATGTTTAATGTATATGTACATAGACATGAGGGCTTGCCAGTGTTTGTGGGGAATTCTGTATTCAGTTTTCCCATAAGTTTCCCCTTTGTACATATGTAATATAAAAACATGGAACATATGTGTGAAGTTAGAGTATGTGTAAATACCATAGCATCCAAATTTAAAGTCATGTATAGAAAATTTGTTAGTTACCCATAATCTGTTACGGATTCAGCTGAAAATGTTTTGAAGACCTGGGTTCTAGACCTATGGATGTGATTAGGTTTCAAAATAGGGTTTTTGGTCCACTAATTAGGCCATACCTGGAGGGTGGGTCGTAAACCAAATCACTTGTTACAAGATATAGTAATTGTTGTTGTTGTTATGTACTGTGGAGTCAGTTCCAACTCCTAGTGACCCTGTACAGGGTTTCCAAGGCTGTAAATCTTTACAGGAGCAGAAAGCCTCATCTTTCTCCTGCAGGACAGCTGGTAGTTTCAAACTACTGACCGTGCGGTTCGAAGCCGGTTCGAAGCCCGATTCGTAACC